TATTGTTCAAGAATTGATGCAGTCCAAGTATATCACCAAAAATCTTTAATAAACATTATTTTTATTTAAAATTTGTCTTAAAATAATAATAATTAATTATATATATTTTAATATTATTAAACATTTTTATTATATAAAATTTTATATTTATAATTTAAGTGGTAATATAAAAATAATTTTTTTATATAATATTTACATATTATTAAATAAATAGATAAACTTAATATCATAAATCATAAATTAATAAAAAAATTTAATTATTTAAATAATATAAAAATTTATATAAAATAATAATAATAAATTATTTTTTACAATTTAATATAATTCCAGTTGCCGACACTTTTTTCCTTCCATTGGGTCGCAATGTTGATCATTCACATCTTATATCTCCCATTCATAGTGCCACGGTTTCCTCGTCTCCACTGTCTGTTCTGCAAATTTTAACATCATTTCTTTTCATTTTTGTTTTTTCATAATAGAAGCTAGATTTTTCTCGGTCGATAAGGTCACATCGTCCTCTCAGTTCTGCCTAATCTTTGAAGCTTAAATGGAAATGGACCATTTAGGTCTAATAGATGCATTGGCTCATTGGAACTTGTGATGTAAATTTTAATTAAAATATTCTAATTATAATAACAATTGATATTAAAAATAAATAATATAATTTATTTTTTATTTTAAAATTTATTTATGATGTTATAATTATAATATTATCAAATTTTAATAATAAATAAATTAGAGAATGTTCAATGAAGAGATCTACACTGTAGTAATGAAAATATATAATTAAATTAAAAGTTTGAATAAAGTAAGAACATTTTTCAAGTTGTGAACCGATAACAGTTAACTTTACATTTTTTTATTTAAAGATGTTAATTTTGTTATTTTGTAAATAAATGTGTCAATTTTTAATTTTTTTTCTATTTAAAAATGTCAACTTTTAACTTTTTTTATTTAAGGATGTCAATTTTTAATTTTTTCTATTTAAGGATTAATTGGTGGTGATGCTGACGTGGGCTAACATATTTTTTTTAGGTTAAATACTTAAATTGGTCCTTCAATTTTTATTTTTTAACCAATTCATCCTTAAACTTTAGAAAGTATCAAAAACGTCCTTCAACTTTAATTTTCAATTAATAAAATTATTTCTTAATTCATGGAAGAATTAATTAACTTTTATTTAATTTTATTAAATGGTAGGTGGGACTAATTAAATGGGAAACTATATTAATTGTTTTAATTTTTAAATATAAATAAAGTAAAATTAAGAATTAATGTAGTTTTTAAATTATTTAAAATTAAAAAAATCCACATAATCATTTTTTACATGATGGATTTTCCACATAATATTGAAAATGTAAAATAGTCAATCACTTAGTGAAAAAATTAGTTACATCAACATTTAACTGACGGAAAGACGAAATTGAAAATTGAAGTTGAAGGATGTTTTTGGTACTTTTTAAAGTTTAAAGATGAATTGGTTAAAAATAAAAGTTGAGGAACCAATTTAGATATTTAACTTAAAAAAAATGTTAGTTGACGTCAACATCACTGCCTATTATTAATCGTTAAATAGAAAAAATTAAAAGTTGATATTATTATTTAAAAAATGACAAAATTAATATTTTTAAATAAAAAAAAGTGTAAAGTTGAAATCTTTATTTGCACATTCACTCGTTGTGAACCAATTTATCTTTTTGATTAAAAATGTAATTTCCTAAATATTGATAATTATAATGATATCTAGATCATAATAATATTTGTAGGTACCAATAACTTAACAGTGACTATCTCCTTTTGTTGGAATTAACAGGTCATGATTTTAAGTTGCATGGCACATGGGTAAAGTAAGATAAAAAATGAAAGATAATTACTTTATATTATGCAATTAAAATAAAAAATAATAACAATAATATTTATAGGTTGGACTCGTAAAGAATTAAAAGATAAAAAAAAACTTTAAAATTATATTATTTTAATAAATTTTTATTAAAAAAACTAAAATAACTTATTTTTAAAATTAAGAATAAAACTATTTTGATTTTTAATGATATTTTATTAAAATAACTTAATTTTAAAATATTTTCTTATTTAATTTTTTACAAATTTTACTAATAAATACTAATTTCTATATCTTTCACTACCTGTATTAAAATCCTTGAAAATTGGGCAAAAACAAAAAATTTTATTTTAAAATTTAAAAAATTATTTTTAAACACCTTTGTAGAATGACAATGCCTCACTTGTTGTGTACGGGGCTAAATGACATTGAAGAAATGGACCATTTTTTCCCGATAGCTACTGCATGACGGTGAAAAAAAGGTGGAGATATGAACAGGGTTGTGCACTTAATGCAACTGCCTGTTATCCTGGAAATCCTGTATAAATTCCCCTTCTTCTTCCCAGTCCATGTGGAGTGCAAATATCGCTGGTGTGACTTTTCTTTCTTGTTCATCTCCCCTGATACAGTTTCCTTTCATCCTCCTCTATGTTGAACCTTTCATCTATACACCATGTTTTCCTTCCGCTCTTCTTGTGTTCTTGCATCCTGGTTGTGTCAGGAAGTTTACATACATATACATCTGCCTTCCATGGCAATTTCCTCTTTGGAACTGCATCTTCTTCATATCAGGTTCACTTTTGCTTTCACTCTCAAAGACAAATTTTCTTCCTTTTTCCTTTTTAACTTTCTAATGGATTTTCAGTGTTTTCTTTTTTCTTTTTTTTTTGCCAGTTTGAAGGAGCTTTCTTGAGTGATGGAAAAGGCCTCAACAATTGGGATGTTTTCACTCATATCCCTGGTTAGATTATAGATTGCTTTGAGTCCATCATTTTTTTTTTCTCTTTTTTTCCTCTTAATTTCTCTCCTGCCAAACAGAGCTGTGTGCTGTTTGCAGGCAACATAATGGATGGAAGTAATGGAGATATTGCTGTTGATCATTACAATCGATACATGGTAACTTAGAATCTGCTTCTTCAAGATATTTTTTCTCCTTCCCTACTGTTTGGAGAAATTAAGAAAATGGGTTAGTTAGGCGTTATATGTTAGGTATATCATGTGCATCATGTTTGATAGTAAGAATGTGGTTTTCCCATATTGATGTGTATGAATTTCTAAAAGAGTGCATTTATGGAACTAATATGACAAATTGATTCAACTTTTTGATATAGACAGCACAAAATAAGGTTGTGGATTTTGAGCCATACTTTAATTGTCTTTTGCGTGCAAGTTTTGTACTAGAACCACCCAACAGACTGGCATGAAAGGAATCAGAGCCTTTTGTCTGTTTCTGGCAAACGTAAAAAGATGATGAATCTGGTTCTCTGTGGTCATGAAACAGGAAGATCTTGATCTCATGAATTACATTGGAGTCAATAGCTACCGCTTCTCTATATCATGGGCAAGAATTCTACCTAGTGAGTTGTTTACAACTTTTTGACAAATGATTGTTGTTTTTCAAACGACTTTTGCATTCCCTGGCTAAATCCAGCTTGAACTTTTCATCCAGAGGGAAGATTTGGGAAGGTGAATAAGGCTGGTATCAGTCACTATAACAAGCTCATAGATGCTCTTCTGCTTAAAGGTCTACTTCTTCATAATCTGTGTACTGTGTATTTTGTACTCATCCAAATCATTTAGTGTCTTTTCCATAAACAAGAGATGATCTCTAATCTGATTTCAGGTATCCAACCTTTTGTGACATTGACACATTTTGACATCCCTCAGGAACTTGAGAACAGATATGGAGCATGGCTAAGTCCCAAGGTGAAGTAAGTGGAAACCATTCTTTAACAATCCCTTGCTAGTCCTGCAATTGTATCTGGAAATTGAGACTAAAATGAATGGAACACTTTTCAGGGAAGATTTCAAGTACTTCGCGGATATATGTTTCAGATACTTCGGGGATAGAGTGAAATACTGGGCAACCTTCAATGAACCTAATGTTATGGTAATCCGTGGATATAGGTCAGGGATTTTCCCTCCATCACGCTGCTCAAGCTCATTTGGAAACTGTAGCAGTGGGGATTCAGAAAAAGAGCCTTTTATTGCAGCTCACAACATAATTCTGTCCCATGCAGCTGCTATTCATCTTTACAGAACTAAATACCAGGTATCTCAGTGTGTTCCTATGTCCTAACACCATTTCCCATTTGAGATAGAATCTGAACTATGGAGTGCTATATTTCTTTTCAGGAAAAACAGAATGGTAGTGTTGGGATTGTTATGAATGCGATTTGGTATGAACCTTTCAGCAACTCTTTAGAGGACAGACTAGCAGCTGAAAGAGCTATAGCTTTCTATATGAACTGGTAAGAATCCTGAACTCTGATTAATAATAATTTGAGGCATTTTCTGATTTAATTTAGACATTAAATGCAGGTTCTTAGACCCACTCATACTTGGGAAGTATCCCAAAGAAATGCAAGAAATTCTAGGATCTGACTTGCCAATGTTTTCACAATATGATCTGAAGAAATTGAAGAATGGACTGGATTTTATCGGCATCAATCACTACACCTCTTTCTATTCAAAAGACTGCATGTTTTCTTTATGTGAAGCAGGACCAGGAGTGTCCAGGACAGAAGGCTTCAGTTTAAGAACTCCAGAGAAAGATGGTGTCTTGATTGGAAACTCTGTGTGTATAATTTCTGTTCTGGAACATATCCCAAAAGCTGAAAACTAACATATATAGTAAAATCCAAACAGATATAACTAATTAAGGTTTTCATTGATGCAGACTGCAGTTGACTGGCTATATGTCCATCCTCAAGGGATGGAGAAGATAGTTACATACATAAAAGAGAGGTATAGGAACATCCCTATGTTCATCACAGAAAATGGTTAGTAGGCAACTGATTTATATCTTCAGCAACTTGGTTTTCTTTCTATGATGAATTCCTGGTATTAACTGTTGAATATCTTCTAGGGTTTGGTGAGATTGATGATTCAACTTCCCCAACTGAAGATGTGCTCAATGACGTTAGGAGAACAGAATATATGAGTGGCTACTTAGGTGCCTTAGAAACAGCAATGAGGTACCAACTTAATTAGATTCAATTTTAAATTAGAGAACTAGAAAGGTGTCTAATTTGAATCATATTTTGATGAAACAAGCAGGAAAGGAGCAGATGTTAAAGGGTACTTCACATGGTCATTGCTTGACAATTTCGAGTGGACATCAGGATATAAAATTAGGTTTGGACTTCATCATGTTGATTATGCAACTCTGATGAGAACTAGAAGACTATCAGCAGTGTGGTACAAACAATTCATAGCTAACCATACAGCTCAGAGAATCATAGCACCTAAACAGAATCCGGAGAATCAACAAAAAGGATCGTTCAGGAGCATCTAAATATCACATTCAAATGCCGGGAGGAGTTTCAAAATGAAAACCAGACTCCTGCGTCCATTGGGAAAAGCTTTTATACCCATTTCTGAAACCTTAGACTTGATAGCTAATTCATGCAGGCACTCATGGTCTATTGTAAAAAAATGCTGGTAAAAACTATATTTCTCATAAGGGTTTTTCTAATCTATGCCATGAGAGTATAAGAGTACAGGGTAAAGGTATAATTACTGCACTTTTATTTACAATAATTAATATTAAAAAATACAAAATCTATTATTGATTTGTAATTATTGCACTTTTTTTACAATAATTAATATTGAAAAATATATAAAGTTATTATTAATTTTATCACTAGTGTTATGCGATTCATTTTAATTAGATAGTCGCTAAAATAAACATCAAATTATATTTTTTCAATACTAATTAATATAAAAAAAAAAATCAATAATTATACCTAGAGCGCATATTAAAAAACCTCTACTCAAAATGAATGTAATTATTAAAGTAGTTGACGATGCCCGATGCAAGCAAAGGAATCCACCCATTAACTAATATCAAAAATAGTACATAAATGAACAGAAAGCAAGAGTCATTCATAAATATAAGAAGACAAACTTTACCTACTACTTTATGTCTTTTCTTCCTTTAATGGATAAAAGTATTAAGCTGAGCCCATCAAGCATGCATATGAATATGAATTGAGAAGGACCATATATACCTATCCTGTCCTTGCAAGCCATCAGAAGAACTTCCTCATGGAAATTTCCATATTTTACATAGGCTGCTTTCTCTTACAGATGGTCTTGTCCCCTCTCTCTGTTTCATCTGAGCTACAAATGCCGAGACAAAGCTCAGATTCTGCTCCATTATTCCCTCCCAACTTTCTTTTTGGGACTGCCTCTTCTTCTTACCAGGTTTGTATTCAACATCATTTTCTCTTCCTCCTTTCTCTTCCCCCTTACCTTTTTCTGTTCTTTTACAGTGTGAAGGTGCATACTTGAGTGAGGGTAAAGGTCTGAACAACTGGGATGTATTTACTCATAAACCAGGTGATGGTCCTTCTTTTATCCACACATGGGAACTTTGCCATTTTTCAAATTTACAAAGGCATGATTGTTGCAGGAAACATAATGGATGGAAGCACTGGAGATGTTGCTGCAGATCATTATAATCGGTATCTGGTATTTTAACTGCTCCTTTTCTCATCTTCTGATTCTTCATTCTAGAGAACCGGGACCCAATTTTTTAGAGCTTGAAATGTGTAATATCTGATTCTGCAGGAAGACATTGATCTAATGGACTCCATTGGAGTAAATAGCTATAGGTTCTCTCTTTCTTGGGCAAGAATTTTACCTAGTAAGCTAAACCTCCTTAACTGCTAGACTGATGTCCCCATTTCTGCTTTCAAGTTATTCAACCATGGAATTCTGTCACAGAAGGAAGATTTGGAGATATCAATTGGGCTGGCATCAACCATTATAACAAGCTAATCGATGCTCTCCTGCTTAAAGGGATTCAACCATTTGTAACTCTGACACACCTTGATTTCCCTCAAGAACTTGAGGCAAGATATGGAAGTTGGCTCAGTCCTGAATCACAGTAAGAACATCTTCCTTCTCCATGAAGCTGAGATATTGAATTTTGCTGCTTATGCCTGTTTTCTTCATACATTTTCAGAGAGGACTTTGCATATTATGCAGACATCTGTTTCAAGTTCTTTGGGGACCGAGTGAAGCATTGGGTTACCTTCAATGAGCCAAACTTCCAGGTGAATTTGGGTTACCGCTTAGGCACATACCCGCCATCTCACTGCTCGAGGCCATTTGGAAACTGTACCTATGGAGATTCGGAGAAGGAACCCTTCATAGCAGCCCATAATATGATCCTTTCACATGCTGCTGCAGTCAATATTTATAGAACCAAGTACAAGGAGAAACAGAGGGGATCTATTGGGATAGTCATGCATGCATTCTGGTTTGAACCCATCAGCAATTCTAGAGCTGACAAGTTAGCTGCTGAAAGAGCACAATCGTTCTCTTTAAACTGGTTCATTTCTTAGACCAGTTTCTTCTGATATGTATCTATTTTCATGTGGAAAAGGACTAACTGAACTTAAAATGCAGGTTCCTAGATGCGGTTATATTTGGAAGATATCCTCCAGAGATGAAGAACATTCTGGGATCTAGATTACCTGAATTTTCAAGCATCGAGCAAGAGAGACTAAAGAATGGATTAGATTTTATTGGCATTAATCACTATACTAGTTACTTTGTCCAGGACTGCATCTCTTCTGTGTGTGAACCTGGAACCGGAACCACAAAGACAGAGGGGTTCTGGAGACAAAGCTCAGAGAAAAACGGTGTCCACATTGGAGAACCTGTATGCAAACCCCAATTTAACACAATTTATATAACTTGCATCAAATTCTGAACCAGTAGCTGATGCTATTTTCCCTGTGCAGACTGATCTGGAATGGCTAAATGTTTATCCACAAGGAATGGAGAAGATTGTGACCTACGTAAAAGAGAGATACCATAACATGCCTATGTTCATCACAGAAAATGGTAAGAGGGGAGGAAAAAAGTCACTTCAATCCACTTCTCACATAATTCTGATGACAATATCGTATTCCTGTAGGATACGGCATTCTGAACAAGCCAAATCTCCTCAATGAAGAAATTATTAATGATATCAAAAGAGTGGAGTACATGACTGACTACTTGGATGCATTGATCATGGCAATAAGGTGAAGGCTGAACACTCAAAAACTGTACATATTCCAGTAACTTCAAAAAGAAAACTGATCTATATTCTCATCTTATGCATTCAGGAAAGGAGCAGATGTAAGGGGTTACTTTGTGTGGTCCTTTCTAGACAGTTTTGAGTGGACATATGGATATACAGCAAGTTTTGGACTTCACCATGTTGACAATGATACACTGAAGAGAACTCCAAAACTATCTGCAATTTGGTACAAAAAATTCATTGCAGAGCATGGCAGAACAAAATATCGAATTACAGACCATGTTTCAGGGCATCTGGTAGCATGTTAATGAATCTATTCTCGATTCATGTTGAGACAAGACCTAAATGAACAAAATCATTTGCAGTGCAGCTGGGGGCAATATTTCCCATATTAGGGTTTCTATCAGATTTGTTCCTCTAGAAGATAGGAAAACATAAATTAATATGCTTTAACAAATGGAGAGATCATATTAAATGTCATAAGAGAAAGATACCATTGATGAAAAAGCATGTTTTCTTACCAACAAAATTTTACAAATCATTTGCTATAATGCATTCAGCTGACTGCAGGTGATGCTACACCTCTTGTTGCAAATTGTATAATGCCGATTCCATCACATCTCTCCATGTCACATCTATGGGGCAAAGCAAAAGGAGTTCAGACAGAATCAGGTTTGCTATCCCCTTTTCATTTGTCCACATGTTTGCTGCTCTCAAAGCTTCTATTAACCTTCAAGTCAGGTATTGAGAGATACTTCTGATCCTCATTCTCCCAGTAGCCAACCTAGGCTGCACTGGATCTCCACCAGGGAGATCCAGCCTCATAAATATGTTCACCATCATCCCATGAAATTTGACAAGCTTGAAGACCAATGGCAACACTTGGCTCTTTCCCATGCCTGGCAACCCATTCTGTAACAGCCATTTCTTTATCATCCTCACTATTATATATTTTCTTGTGTTTTCCAAATGGATTAAGCCCAGGCCTGGTAACCTCTGCAATTGCAGCTGGCATGTACATAGAGTCACCCACTATTGGTGCACCACAGGCAGCCAGTTGTGCACGAATCTGCACAAAATGTTAAATTATTGTCAAAATATGGCCAACACTTACTTGAAGTAAAAAAATTTACATTAAGATTCCTTCTTGCCTGCCCATCATTATATATTTATAACACAGTAATGCCTAACAGTTGTCATAACCAGAATCCCCAAGTATATTATTACTAGTTATTCAAATTCCATTCATGACTTTCTAACTGCATAAATGCTAAACAGACAATGCAGGTAAAAGAAGAATAGACATGAAACCTGATGAGTCCGACCAGTCAAAAGATTGATTTTACACTCATAAGCAAAATTTTTTGTTGGCCACCCAAAGTCTTCAATAGAGTATTTTTCTTCAAGGAGAGAATCGGGCCAAGGAATCTCCTTGCATTCCATAACCTCAAGTTGACACAAGTACCATCCCTTAACAAAATCTGCATGTCAAAGCAGTTTGGGTTCAACCCATATCACAGAAACTCAGAATGACTGTTATATAATCTGCAGAAAGAATGTCTTTAAGAAACTAAACCGATGAAGATAACCCTTCCTGTCTGTAATGACCTTGTTAAATTAGATAAAACAAAGAATTTAAGTGGAAACCCTTTTAGCTATAGAGTAATGCTTTTTCTTCTTTCATATTGTCCATAGTGTAAACTGGTTACAAGGACATAAGGGCTAAAACAGATAATTACCATGATCAAAATGATCAAAGAAATTTACCTTCTGATACAAGTCTTGGAGCCATATTAATTGGACGCATATAGTGTGTAATTATACCAATTGGTAAAGGAGCAGCAGCAAGAGCAAGATAAAGCTTCTTCACCTTTTTATCCTGATGTAATAGTAATACAAAACTTCAGTTGCAAAGGGCACAGAATGATTAACTCAAAGCCAAGATACTTTGAAGAAGCATAATCTCACAGAAACCCCACAATTGCAGATTTAATAAGCACATCCTTCCCAAACAGGCCTTACTCAAATTCATAAGAAATTTAAAACTTACTCTAATTTTTTTATGAAAAATCGAGCAATACTCCTTAGTCCTAGCTAACACAACACTGCAGGTAAATTACTAGCCATTACTTTCATAGCACCACCACAACAACAATCAGAGAAAAAGATAGTATTAATAAAATACCGTACCAGCCCTCTGAGCAATTATCAATCTGGTGAGTAGTCTTCAATGGTGTTAAAAATCCCAAAGCACGAGTAGCAAATGTTGCACAACTTTCTTCTATATTATCTGTAGTTCCTCCGACCTTCCCAAAGTCATAAAGGAATTATAGATGCCATGAGGAACTGATTAACCAAGCACAAAAGCAATCAAAAAGTAATGACTAAAATTATAAAAATTTGCTTGAAATGACAGGATAACAGCCAAAATTCTGACAATGCCACGGGAATTGTATGGAAAGATGATTCAGGTAAAGCTAATTTTTTTATAAATGAAAACATGAAAGTCTGCTTGAAATTTGAATTGCAATAGTTTATCCCACATCTTTCATAACATTAATTGCTAACCTGTAAAAGAGGTATAAAAGACAGTGCAATACTCAGCATGAACTCCTAAAATTAGTCCATTTGTTAATTAAACTAACAGTTGAAAATCAATGGAACAGTTACATACTGATGTACCAGCAGGTTTGTCCAAAACCACATAGGAGTCTGTCACAGCTATTATTCTTGATTTCCAGTCAATTTCATAGCACCTGCTCCAAGTTCAACTCTACATCAATATTAGAATAACAATAATGGTGAAAAAAAAATCTAAAATGAGTTAACTTGTTTTACCTTGGGAAGCGTTTGGGGTGTACATGAACACGTAAGTATGTTCCTGGTTCAACAAACTGGTCAACATGAGTAATGCGGAAAGTCTTCTGTGCTTCTCTTATTGTTTTCCCTTTGATGGAAGCTCTCTTCCTTAGTACTGATGGGGCAGTAACCTCTTTAAATATCTTAATTTGCTCCAGAGTGGCACTTGGTGGAGGCTGTGGGCAAACGAGGGCATAATATACTGCTCCAAAATGGATGAGATCTGCAACAAACCTTCAAGGAATTGAATTTTCAACATATCACTCCATCCACGTTAATTGAAGGAGAATCAAAAAATATCATGAATCATATGTAATGGCATCAGTTTAAAACATATCAAATGAAAAAAGAACACAGCACTCACAGAGGAGGAAGATCCAGTGCTTTACAAAGATATTCTAGAACAGGCCCTCCTTCTGAAACCACCAGGTGTTCAACCCTTGGTGCCCCATTCTCAGATGGACATGGAAGCAACCTATGATATTCAGGATAGCTGAAAGGAAATAAATCTTAGTTAAGAAATAGCAGAGCATGCCCTAAAAGTTTAAAATTAAACAAGATGTCTAAGAATTTCACACAGAGGAAATGATTAAAAAAAAAAAAAGAAACATGAAAGGTCAGTTCAATATTTCATCAGCATTGTTAACATGAAACAACTTGAGACAGGCTCTTTATTTTATTTTACTGTCATATTTGACGAGGTGTGGATTTCATTTTTTATGAACGTAGTGTGAAGCATGGATTGAACACCACACTTAATAACCTCCATCAGTTTTGCAGTGAAAATGAAAGGCCACAACTAAACGACTGTACATGCCGTATCAGAAATTTAAGAAATGTCAAGGTTTAGAACACGCATTTGATAAAAAGATCAAAGCTTTCACTCCTGAGAACTTGCCTACAAGCAACTAAACTAAATTCAATATGAATAATACAATACTTCAGCTCCTAATTCAGTTTGAAAAAAAAAAAAAATAATTAACTCAGAATTCAGTAAGTTTATGGCTTACCCTCTGCAGTCTCTGTAAGCCCCTTAAATTCAATTTAAAATTACAAACTGATCTCTTTGGTTTCCCTTTCTCGCATTTCTCAGCTCCAAAAGAAGAACAAGCAACTAAGACATTTTATCCAAATAATTATCTTCAAAACTAACGAGCTAATTCCATAGAAAACCCAGTAACGAAAACAGTGAGAAGATGAGAAATTTCCATTACCCATTAACAGAAGAAGCTGATGCTATTTCAGCAGCACCCTGTTTCGAGGAGAAACATGCAAACTCTCTCCTGTTGGAGCTCAAACAACACCAAGCCAAAGCACTCTCTTTCTTGTTTCCATGAGGCCTATAGAGAGCAGAGGCTCTTGGCGATGCTAACGTGCGAAGAACGGCCATCGGAACCTGGATACTCCGGTAGCCGTTGGTGAAGAACGAAGCAAGAGTCACTGAACCCATCTTCAGAGTGCAAGGCCGATAGCTTGAGGGTTTATTTTCCCGATATTGATTGAAGATTAGATCGGGCTCCAACAGATTTAGCCCATTAGGCATCAAAAGTATGGACCTTTAGGCCCATAATTATCTTTGGGCCTTTTATTTTCAAGTTGGTGTTTGCTACCATGTTCTCGGGCCTTATTTATGTATTTTCTAAATGTTTAAATGCGCTCCTATATTTCTTGCCTATTCAATTCGACCCTCTCTACTCTAAACCAAACAACCAAAAAATAGCCCCAAAATAAGTCCATAACTAAATTATCCGTGAATCCAGATTTATATTGAAAATAATAATTATAACATGATCAATAATTGGCTAAAGAAAAATACAAGGTTGAATTGACACTGATATTCTATACAAGATCATCGGATGAGAAAATTCAGCCTCACGTTGTTTGACCTACACATCATAAGAAAAAATGATTTGATGACATAAGCTGTTACATATGGCTGATGTGCCACCATCCAAGGAGTTTGCTGGTTTAAAAGTCACAGTTTTTAGTTGAGGGGGCTGATTTGCCACCGATCAAAGAGTATAGGGGCTGGTTAGCCCTTTTTGCCTAGGCTTATCCCCTCTGTCCGGTTTTGTCTGTTCTCCGACGTGACCGACGGTCTTTTCCTTGACCATTTGGTTGGGAGGGAAAACGACGAAATTCGCAGAGATACCGAGAAATTAGGCTCACCGGGTTGACGATAAAAGAAGCAGAAGCTGGAAAGGGGTAAAGGGAGAAAGGAGAAAGATGGAGTGGTGGGTGTCGATTCCAAAGATTGAACTTCACGCTCACCTCAATGGATCCATCAGGGACTCAACACTCCTGTAAGCTTCTTCCCTTCGCCGGCGCCGCTTCCTTTTCTGCCTCCGTTTTGTTTACTTTTTGCATTAATTTCAAGATATCGTAAAAGGGCAGATGCCAATTTGGATTCTTTAGATCTTCTTGAATGATGGGTCGATTAAGTGTTGTTTTACTATGGCAGGGAACTTGCTAGAGTGCTGGGTGAGAGGGGTACTATACTTTTCTCAGATGTGGAGCATGTTATAAGGAAAAGTATGTCTCATTCTACATTTTGTTGTTTTATTTTTATTTCAATGATGAAGATAAAGTGGATATGGATAAAGAGAGATACTTGATGATGGATTTTGCGCTTTTTTTTTTTTTTTTTGTTCTGTTTTATCTATTTCAATGATGAAGATTACTTTTTTTTTTTTTTTTTTTTTTTTTTTTTTGTTTTTGGGTAACGTTGGGGGTTAGCTGCTTGACAATGCAGGGGTTTGAATCTCCATTGACCCCAAATCGAGATTTTTATATCATTGGTTGTTGTGAGTAGAACTTAGAACATAATTTGAGTAGATTTGGGTGAATTGATCTGTGACTTTTGAGAAAAAAACAGTTTCCTAATTTGTTTCTGGTGTTCTTAATGATTGACATTCTGAAATTCCCAACTTTCTTCAATTCAGATGACCGATCTTTGACTGAAGTGTTCAAGTTGTTTGACCTCATCCATATTCTTACCACTGATCACTCAACTGTTACAAGAATTACTAAGGAAGTAAGGAAAAATTGCAGCACTCTTTTTTTGATATTTCCGTATTTATTTCTCATCATTTCTTCTTTCTGATTTCATGAGATAGGTTGTTGAAGATTTTGCTTCTGAGAATGTTGTATATCTAGAGCTAAGAACAACTCCCAAGGTAATTTCACAAGTTGCTAAATTTTTAATTCTTATGTCATATCAAAACATACTTTGATTGATTTGGGAACTTAGGGGTTTCTTTTTGTTCAGAGAAAGGATTCTGTAGGAATGAGTAAGCGCTCTTATATGGAAGCAGTGATTGAGGGTTTAAGAGCAGTCAGTGCAGTTGATGTTGATTTTGCTCCTGATAATTCTCAGACCAGAAGTTTTCCATCTATTGATGATACACAAATTCAAACTACAAGGAAGAAGATATATGTCAGACTTCTTCTCAGTATTGATCGCCGTGAAAGCACGGAAGCTGCCATGGAAACTGTATGTTTGAAAATGTTGTTTTGAAAGATACTTGTGAGCTTTTTTTGATTTTCAAGTCATCTAATTTTTCTTGCCCACCATCCAGATTAAGCTTGCCCTTGAAATGAGGCATTTAGGGGTAGTTGGCATTGACCTTTCTGGGAATCCAATTGTGGGCGAATGGTACTCACTTGTTCAAACAACTTGTTTTTTACCTAACATAAGTCATCAAATGGCAGCAATTCTTTTATATGGTATAATAACTTACTATTCTTAATTTTTTATGCATTTGAGATAGGAGTACATTCATGCCAGCATTGAAGTTCGCTAGGGAGCAAGGTCTCTTCATAACTCTTCACTGTGGGGAGGTGCGTTTCCTTTTTGATTGCAGATCGTAGTCATAATCTTGATGTCCTCTGTAATAATTGAAATTACCCTGACTGGTCTATTTTCAACTCTTAGTGCCTTTAGGTACCCAACCGGGCGGAGATAAATGCAATGCTAGACTTTTTACCACAAAGGATTGGCCATGCTTGCTGGCTTGTGGAGGAAGAATGGAGAAAATTGAAGTCATCAAAAATCCCAGTTAGATGTCCTTTCTTTTTACAGTAGTTTAACTGCAACTCTGGTTAAATGAATCCAAGTGAAGACCAGACTTATTGGTTTTAGATTACTTAGCTAGCTAAACTATATCTGATATTTGTCTATTTGCAATTTTGCAGGTTGAGATTTGCTTGACATCTAATATCACAACTGCATCAGTTTCCTCTATAGATATTCATCATTTTAGTTAAGTTTCCTAATTCAATCATCAACTTTGAAAATTCATCAATGAATAGTTCATATTAGGTTTCATCTTTGGTAATTGGAGCACACTTCTCTTCGTGCTACATACTAACTTTTAGACGGTTCTTTTGACATGGTGATGCAGTTGATCTATACAATTCAAAGCATCCTTTGATCCTGTGCACTGATGATTCCGGGGTTTTCTCCACCAGCCTTTCCAGGGAGTACAAGCTTGCTTCCTCTGCATTTGGTGAGTGCAACATAATAGTTTATGCAGAGGATATTATATTATTGATCCAATACCTTATCATGACCAACCTGTTCATCACTGTTTAGGTCTTGGAAGTACCGAAATGTTCCAGCTAGCTAAAACTGCAATTGATTTCATATTTGCGGATGATGGAGTAAAGAAGGATTTAATCAAGATTTTTGAATCAGCCTCAGAGAAGCTGGGATCCTAACAAATGACACCTCAATGTTCATCATGCCCACCTCATTTTAGCTCATTGTTGTCAGTAGCGACATTTTTAATTAAGTTCAAGTTACAAGAACCCTAATTTGTAGTTTGTGACCAATTTTTATTATGTTCTTGATATTTTAGTTTGAAAAACCTGAGCTGCAAGGATATCCAAATCATCATAAATCAGATACAAATCTATCATCTTCCCGCATGCTAAGAAAGTAACGCGACAAATCTACACACTTTCAAACAATTTTCCCCGGTATTGTATGAAACATAAACAATTGAAAGACATGAAAATGTGTCATTCATGTTGCTTAACTCATTGACAGGGACTGAAAGCAAAGCACCATGGCAGCCCTCCCTTTTTTATTTTACTAATCTCAGTATCCGGTATTATATTGGGTTCTGATTAATTTAAAATCGAGTTGTGTTGAATTTAATAAATAAAAATTTTTATAATATCTGTTTTTTTACTTATGAAACTTAAATTCATAATTTTATTTAAAGAAATCCAGCATGGTGAATCTGGTTCGGAGACAACTAAAACGACGTCGTCTGAGCAAGTTAGAATGGTTGCAACGGTACCGTTTTGGTTGGTTTCTCCGCCTGCGCATAAAAAGGGTGGGAAAAACAACAGCCGTGCCTGCTTTCAGATTACGGGGAAATTCCAACGACACATGCGCCTTCTGTTTTTTGTTCAGTTTTCTCTCTCCCGCCATTTGATCTCCATAAACCCTAACTCCGACAGGGGAATTCTCATTTCGGCGACCTTCAGCTGATACCAATCGCAGTGCAGTCGTCTATGGATAGCAGATAAAGAACATCGTGTTTGCCATCCGATCAGATCATAGTCCTGGCCGCATTTTCGCCTTCCGATCACAATGTCTTGGGGATTGGGATGGAAGCGGCCCTTGGAGATCTTTCGTTTGACGCTAAACTATGGAACGGAGGAATTTCTGGACGATCTCTGCCGCACGCCGTCATCATCGTCGGTGTCCTCTTCTTCCTCGTCATCGTCATCTTCACCGCCAGCACCGCAAGCGCAAGATCAGCAGGAACTTGGATTGAGGATCGAGCTGGATTGGACATCGGGAGAAGATGAGGATCAGTTGGCGCTGAGGCTGCAATCGCAGCTGATGGTGGCCCTTCCCCTGCCGCAAGATGCGGTATCTATTGAGTTAAAAGAGAAGGAAAATAACGCGGTGGAGGTGGAGATGAGGGTTGAGAAGAGGATGGAACCGTTGCGGGGTATTATTCTGGCCAAGGCTTCAGGTTCTGGGCAGCAGAGTGACGGAATCGGGGTCTTTACCAGATTGTTACGGTCGAATTTGGTGCCTTCAGGTGGTTCCGGTGATGGGAGTGTAGTTGGGTGTGGCGAGCATTGGAAAACTGTGTCTTTGCTTAGCCTCTGCGGTTGCAGTTTGACGGTCAGTTCATGTTTATGTTTTCTTTTAATTTTGTTATGATTATGTGGTTCTATTTTGTGTTTCTATTCATTTATAATTCCTTTATGTTATCTTGTTCTGTGCACTTTGCATTTCGCTTTGTTATTCTAACTTTTTTCCAAAAAAAGAAAGAAAAAAGGAAAAAAAAAAGTAGCAAAGAAAAGAACTTTTTTGCTGCTAATGGAAAAGCTGTGTTCTTTCTTTTCTGGTTCTGATTTTTGTCAAGGTGTTTTAAGGTGAATGCACTATCATTTCCTCTATTTTTGTCTTTTTACCAATTTGCTTGTGATTGGAGCTAGTTGTTTGATATCACTATTCTCTAGTTAAGTACTTTTTGAACACAGGTATTGCCAGTTGAGGTAACTCAATTACCAGTTCTTGAGAAACTGTACCTTGATAACAATAAGCTATCAGCTCTGCCGCCTGAGCTTGGTCAGGTGAAAAACTTGAAAGTACTCACTGCTGACAATAACATGCTGGTTTCAGTTCCTGGTGAGCCTTGATTTGTGTCTCATTTATAATTTGAAAACTTATATAATCATTTCCAAGTTCCTTTGAAGAAGAAAAATTATATTCTCTGGCCCGTTCATCTTCCATTAATCCATGTGCTGTATTTTTGTGGGGTGTTGTAACTTATAAGCAGTGGAACTGAGACAGTGTGCCAAACTGGTGGAATTGTCATTGGAACATAACAGACTTGTTCGGCCTCTTCTTGATTTCAGGTCACTTTGTTGACAATCAACATTTTTCTAGGCTTGTAGATCTGTGATTTTCTTCTGGTCTAATTTTTCCTCCAGTTGGATGCCAGGGCTATGGCTGAATTACAGATTCTTAGACTATTTGGTAACCCTCTCGAATTTCTTCCTGACATTTTGCTGCTGGACAAGCTTCGTCATTTATCTCTTGCAAATATCAGGATTGTGGCTGATGAAAATCTAAGGTCTATAACTGTGCAAATAGAGGTACTGGTCAATAATACTGTCAGCTGTTATTGGCCTATGTTTTTAAGTAACAACTACATAAGCTAAACTATTTCATTGTGTGGTGGTCGCAGATGGAGAATAGTTCATATTTTGGGACATCTAGACACAAGCTAAGTGCCTTCTTCTCACTCATATTTCGTTTTTCCTCTTGTCATCACCCCTTGCTAGCTTCTGCTCTGGCAAAGATTATGCAAGACCAAGGGAACCGTGTAGTTGTTGGTAAAGATGAGAATGCAGTGCGGCAGCTCATAAGCATGATGAGTAGTGATGATCGCCATGTGGTATGTTAGTAATAATAACAACTATGGGCAAAACCTAACTTGTGCATCTGTTTCATTTAGGCATTGTCTTTACAGTTCTGGTTTATATCAGGTTGAACAAGCATGCTCTGCTCTATCGGCTCTTGCTGGAGACATTTCTGTAGCATTGCAATTGATGAAATGTGACATCATGCAACGTATTGAAACTGTGCTGAAGACATTTTCCCAAGAAGAACTGGTTTCTGTGTTGCAAGTTGTTGTAACATTGGCTTTTGCATCTGATATTGTTGCTCAGAAGATGCTGACTAAGGACATTTTTAGATCATTAAAATTATTATGTGCCCATAAAAGCCCTGAGGCAAGTACTTCATTTCCATGTTTGAATTGTACATTTTATTTTATCTCTGATATTTCATGGTCATTATTTTTAAGGCTTTAATTTTCATCAGGTGCAAAGGTTGGCTTTATTAGCAGTTGGGAATTTAGCCTTCTGCCTAGAGAATCGCCGTATCATGGTCACTTCTGAAAGTTTAAGAGAACTTCTAATGCGCTTGACTGTTGCACCTGAACAAGGTGTAAGCAAAGCTGCAGCCCGGGCTCTTGCTATTCTTGGTATGTTTCTTGACATTCTTCTTTCACTATGTTTACAAATTGTTTAAATTGGAATATAACAGTTCTCTTGCTATCTGACTTTGTAGGGGAAAATGAAACTTTGCGACGTGCTATAAGAGGGAGACAGGTTCCAAAACAAGGGCTACGTATACTCTCAATGGACGGAGGTGGTATGAAAGGTCTGGCCACTGTGCAGCTCCTTAAAGAAATTGAGAAGGGGACTGGAAAGCGGATACATGAGTTGTTTGACCTTATATGTGGCACATCAACTGGTGGCATGCTCGCTATTGCACTCGGTGTTAAGCTAATGACCTTGGATCAATGTGAAGAAATATACAAAAATCTTGGTGAGTTCACTGCTTGAAAAGATCCTGTTTGACAACTGTATTTTTGGCTCAACTTTATAAATCCTATTCTACTATAATAATTGTGTAGGAAAACTTGTTTTTGCTGAATCTGTGCCAAAGGACAATGAAGCTGCAACTTGGAGGGAAAAGTTGGATCAGCTTTACAAAAGTTCATCACAAAGTTTTAGAGTTGTTGTACACGGATCTAAGGTATGTATTACTGCATTCATCTTCTATATGATATTCATTCATTTAGATGTATATGGATGTTTGCTTTTTTACTTTTCTTTTTAAGTACCAGCAGACCAGCTTTTATGATTTCCTTGAATTCTTGAGAAAAGAGAATGCCTTAAGTCTCATCGTTTTATGGGATCTTTCTATGGGTGTGCTGTATTTTCATTTATTTAAGGGTTGCATATTCTATAAATATTTGCCGAATTGTTGTAGGTAATACAAATATGATTATCTCATCTGTTTTAAATTTTCTCAGTATAGATATTTTCAAAAACAGATTGACTACTTCAAATAGGGCTACAAAGTTTTACCTTTTAAAATATCTCTTGCCTTGGATGAGACAATACAACATATCATCTTGCAGCACAGTGCGGATCAGTTTGAGAGATTGCTAAAGGAAATGTGTGCTGACGAGGATGGGGACCTGTTAATAGAGTCAGCAGTGAAAAACATTCCCAAAGTGTTTGTTGTATCAACTTTGGTGAGCGTGATGCCAGCTCAGCCTTTTATATTCCGCAACTATCAGGTTGGATGCTAGGACAGTAAGACTCTTTTTTTACTGTTTACCCATTATTATAACATGACCATTGAGCACATTATGATAAGTTCTTGGTATGCTGTGTATAGTTTTATCTATATGTTGTTGTCTTAATGTTCAGTACCCTGTGGGAACGCCAGAAGTGTCCTTTGCAATATCTGAAAATTCAGGAATCACTGTGCTAGGATCCCCTACTACAGGTGCTCAGGTTGGTTACAAACGAAGTGCTTTTATTGGAAGTTGTAAACATCAAATCTGGCAAGCTATAAGAGCATCATCTGCGGCACCATATTATCTTGATGATTTCTCAGATGGTACTTGTTCTGCTTTCTTTTTCTTTTTTGGCCCTTTCTTCTTGTGCTTCTTTAGGTTTGCACTTTTGTTCAGGAAGACTTGGAGCATACAGGCTTCTTTCCCTTTTTGTTAAATTTATTTACCCTTTCAGTAATTTCCGTAGATGTATTCCGCTGGCAAGATGGTGCTATAGTGGCAAACAATCCTACCATCGTTGCCATCAGAGAAGCACAACTTTTGTGGCCTGATGCAAAAATCGACTGCTTGGTTTCTCTTGGGTGTGGCTCTGTTCCCACAAAGGTAACATCCTGCTCTTCTTTTCTAGCATATGCAGTAAAGAAAAACTTCTGAGATGCTTCTTTATATAGACAAAATTATAAACTAAATTTGTTGGGTTTTTTTGTTTTCTTTTTTATCTTGTACATGTATTAGATGGCAACAAATAGTGTCTCCTGTTTCAACTTAACTTCTCTTTATTAGATCATATCATCCTTCTATCTTTTAGTCACAACTATATCTAATTCTAGGTACGAAGAGGTGGTTGGCGTTATCTAGATACCGGCCAAGTGCTGATTGAGAGTGCATGCAGTGTGGACAGAGTGGAGGAAGCTGTGAGCACATTGTTACCAATGCTTCCTGGGATCCAATATTTTCGGTTTAATCCAGGTAATAGACTTCAGAGTATTTATGGTTTTCCATGTAAGCATGATAATTAGAGCTTAGAAGACCTTCATTTAACATTGGAGGTCTCTGGATAATATTCTTTACACCAATCATCCTTATTTAATCTAGGAATTTATTTTCTTTGTTGAAACAATTAGCATTCTCTTTTTCTATGTGGTTGCTCTTGCAGTTGATGAACGTTGTGATATGGAGCTGGATGAGACTGATCCAACAGTCTGGCTGAAGTTGGAAGCTACTTTTGAGGAATACATTAAAAACACTTCTGAGGCATTCAAGAATGTTTGTGAAAGGCTTCTTCTACCCTTTGCAAATGATGAGAAGTGGACACAGAATTTGAAATCCCATCCCTTTGCCACGTCAAAGGCATTAAATGCAGGTAATCTCCATCACAACCCTTCAGTGTTTTCTAAAAATTATTCTTGGATGCTTTAGCTGAACCTCAAAATTTCTTTGATATAGATGAGAGTAGTCCTTCATTGGGTTGGAGGCGTAATGTACTGCTAGTTGAAGCTTTACATAGCCCTGATTCTGGAAGAGCTGTGCACCATGCCCGAGCACTAGAATCATTTTGTGCAAACCAAGGAATAAGATTATCTCTTATGCATAGGACATCTGGCATCTCAAAGATGACACCTGGAACAGCATTTCCAACACCATTTACATCCCCTCCAATCACCGGAAGTTTCCCCTCAAGCCCGCTGCTATTCAGTCCTGACATTGGTTCACACAGACTTGGCGGCATTGACTTGGTCCCACCTTTAAGCTTGGATGGCTTACAATCTGGAAAGACAGCTACGTCACCCCCAAAGCCAAAATCACCTCCTGGTCGCAAACAGCTTTCTTTACATGTCCGGTCTATTCATGAGAAGTTACAAAATCTACCCCAAGTTGGCATTATACATTTGGCACTGCAGAATGACACAGTTGGCTCAATATTAAGGTCTTAAATCCTTTCTGTTTTCCTTTTGTTTCCAGATTTTGTCCTACTCTAACAAGCTAGGTGCCTATTTCTGTAGTTGGCAGAATGATGTATTTGTGGTTGCTGAACCTGGAGAACTTGCTGTTAAGTTCCTGCAAAATGTCAAGATTAGCATGTCATCAGTTACCATGAGTCGCAGTAGGAGGAATACATTGAATTTCGCCAATGTGTCAAGTATTGCTGATTTAGTTCGTTTTAGACCATATTTTCAACTTGGAAATGTTATTCACCGCTATATAGGACGTCAGACTCAAGTATGCAATCCTTACTGTCCATCTTTATTTTCAGAATTGTTTTTTAGTTATTGGTTGGAAGTTGGTAAAAGAAATATAATGTGATTCTCATGATATCTCTTACAGGTCATGGAAGATGATCAAGAAATTGGAGCTTATATGTTCCGCAGAACAGTCCCATCCGTGCACATGACACCTGATGATGTTCGCTGGATGGTATGCCCTCCGCTTTCATTTGATCAACTGGTTTTTGTTTCTGTCAGCATTTTATTTTATGCTGCTGATGCTTTATTTATGCCTTGCACCATGCTAGGTTGGAGCTTGGAGGGATAGGATCATATTATGCACAGGAACCTACGGGCCTACACCGAATTTAATCAAGGCTTTTTTGCACTCTGGAGCCAAAGCTGTTATCTGTCCTTCCACTGAACCACAAGAAACGTCTCTGACTTCATACCCTGGATCAGGGGATTTCAATGTTCTAGAAAACGGAAGGTTCGAGATTGGTGAGGAAGAGGCAGAGGATGAAGAAGTTGAACTTACCAGTCCAGCGAGTGACTGGGAAGATAGTGAAACTGAGAAAAACGGAGATCGTTCTACAAGCTTTTGGGACAATGAAGAAGAAGAATTGTCACGATTTGTCTGTCAATTATACGACTCGTTGTTCCGGGAAGGTGCATCGGTGGATGTTGCCGTGCAAAATGCTCTTGCATCACATCGGAAGCTGAGATACTCATGTCATCTTCCCAAAATAAAATAGCCCGTTCGCTAACAATTTTATACAGACACTCGCAATCAAAACACCCAAAAGAAATAGGAAATAAGAGTATAGATGAGTATAGAATCGAATAATCGCTAAGAGGTATCATCCAATTTTGAGGCTATAAGAAGAAAAAGAAAATTTACTCTGTTCTTTATTACATGAACGTGGTGTACATATTTACATTTTTCAAATTGATAGATATGTATAGATTTTTTTTCTTTTTTTGAATATGGCAATTAGGGAGAAGGGGGAATGGGATATGTGGAGTTTGAATACACGTTCACAAGAGATAAATCCCCACTTACACCAAGGGTGAAGGCCAGTGGGGCGGACGTGGGAATCTGATATGTATAGATTTGAACTTCTTTACTTGTGCTGGATTTTTCGCTCTCATTCGCGCATATTCAGCAGAGTTACGGTCTTCGTTCATAAATTCTTGTTGCAAAGTTTAAACCTGAAATTTTTAGATTTTTATTATGGAAGCATCTCTTTGACAGGATAACGATAGTCTTTTTATTTTTGAGATCTTGTTGAATTGTCTTCTGGAAGTGTTATTTTGTCGGAAATCAAGCCCTTCTTCCCGCTTGTTATGCCTTCAGATCAGAAATAACATTGCTTTTTCACTGATTGATCATTCCACGCAAAAAAGATCGATTTCTGATCATGATTGATTTTGCTTTAGCTTTATCATTCCATGTCTGGGCCCTTATATTAAGATTGAAATCAATGTCTTTTTTCCCTATTGACTAGGACAAGTGGTTTTGAGCACGTGGGGGAGAGGCTGGGTAATGGGGTAGGGGGACACTTGGTGGAAACCTTGTTATGAGGGTGTGAAAACTGAAGAACCATTTTATGTTACTGGCGTGAAACACTTACTATGAGCCTGGGCTCAACAAGATTGAAATCAATGTTTGATGCGAATTTACCATATCTTTTTCTCCTATTGCCCATTTCTAAGTTGCAATAGTGGCCAGACATTCATAGTCCATGGAGCACACGGGCTAAACCTTATTGGACAGCTGAAAGCGTTAGGACTAAGGACTAGTTTGGAACAAAGAAATTCTTTTAATTTACCAATACAAAAATGAAGAAATGATTTCTGCCACCACCCTTTGAGAGCTTAATCGATTGAACCCGCATAATGTGCACTCCTCATCATTCACTTCCAAAGGAGAACATAAACAAGGCCTCATACCTAATAACCCCAAAAATCCACCCAAGTTAAACAATCCCTTTAAAAGGTTATTTTAGGGTTTTATTTTCATGCATTAGCATCTATTTCTAAGAAATTCTCAATAAAGAAGAGCTTGCAAATTTACCAAGCAACAAGAGATTTAAGAAAAGGGAAACAATCATCAACATGACCTAAGAGTGAGAACCTATTGATGTAATCATATTAATAAAGAAAGGTTTGCAACTTAAATTTTATAAAAGTAAAATTTTAAAATGGCTTAAATGATCAAAACACAATAAAAAAAAATTAATTGAAAAAAGATATAAGGCATTCATTGCAAACAGAAGGGGGAAAAAAAAGTCTCGATAGATAAAAGCTTGTAAACTTATTGAGTAGAGAGAGAATTAGGTAAGCGAAGAAATCATCAACATGATGTAAGAGCAAAAATTGTATTAATGTAATCCTATTAATAAAGTAAGATTTGCAGCTTAAATTTTGCAAAAGAAAGTCTTTGAAATGGCTTGAATGATCACAGCGCAGGAAAAGAAAATTTAATCCATAAAAGATGTAGGGCTTTCATTTCATTACAAACACTAAGACAAATCAACAATATGCCTAATCCAAAGAAACGCTTAAATTATGCATAAACTCACGCTATCCACTGTTATTTTTTTGGTAGTTCTAATGATGTTTTGTTAACAAGGATAGCCTCTTTTTACCAAAGCTCCTCCCCACGTCGTGTCAAGGTTTTGAGACCTCCAAATTCCCCTCATCTTGCTGTCCACTTTAATAAAGAAAGGGTAAGGATAACAAGAGCTGCTTTATTAAGGCCAAAGTCAGGTTCCCAAAATTCAAAGCAATCATCTCCACCCTTTCTTCATTTACAAGCCTCTTTCATCCCCTGAATCCCAGTATAAAGCCAGCATCAGAAGATCCCAGTTTTTCCCCTGAAAGAAGAAGTAAAATGGCTGCAAGTGCTCCTGTTGCAATAGGTACAAGGGGAACTGTAGGATCACTTGTGAGGAAAGAGATTGAGTACTTCGCCAAGCTTGAGATCGACACAAGAGGGAGCTCCTCCGGAAAGGCTCATGGACTTCTTGTGGATGTAACTTCCTGCAGTGGTCAGTCAAGAAGGCATGCAGGTCTCTGGTTCTCGATGATGAGCTGGAGAAGGAAGAAGCAGAGAGCCGGCACAGGGTTTTTACCGAGCATGTGTTCTGCTGTGGAAGTTGCAGACAGCAATCAGCTCAATGGTATTCCTGGGTTCCATTACAGGATCCTTAAAAATGATCAGAACAATTTCCATTTTTAGTGATCTTTCTGAGCCAAGTGCTCCCCACCCTTGATCAGGTCTCCATTTTCAACAATTCAGCTTTTCTGTCATATTTGCAGCTGCTTCAAAATTTGTCAGGGAGAGCACCAGAAATTATCTTTCATGGATGAAATTAGAAGTTTGATGTTGCTTTTATGGACTACTGCATAAATATTCTTGTTTCTGCAAAAGCCTCTTCATTCAGCTTTACCAAGTCATTATCTTTTTTGGTACATACCAAGTCATTATCTTTCCTGGGTGAAATTAGATGTTTGATGTTCCAATTGTTGCTGGAAATGAAACCTTCAAATAGGTGTAGCAATGGCCAGTTTATATATCCTGTTAATTTAGTGTCAAGACTTCCATTAAAAGATCTTTACATGAATTGCTGTAAACGAGAAGTTCTGACCTAACAATGATTATATACATCAAAACTATAATATCTTAATATGATATAAACACTACTAGCAGATTCACAAACCTAGAAGAGGAACTTTGGTACAGTTCAACAGCTCAAGATCTTCTTTGGTACTTTCTGCTTTTACTACCATTTCTTGTGATCTTTTGACATTGCCAGAAATTCAAGAGCTGTTAGTACGTCTCCAATCAAAGTCCTGGTTTCAGCTTGCTCTTGGAGACACATTGCTGCAACTGCAAGGCCTTTATAAAAACCCTTAAAGGGGTACTCTCTAAAATGAGTGAATCTGCCATCATCTTGAATTTCTGCTTATCCTAGAACAAGTGTTCTGCCTGCAAGATATAATGATATTGATTTCAATCATGCAATCACTTCATTTCATCCAATCCTCACAGAGTCACTATTACTTCAGGCACATATTGATTATTATCATATAATATGTAAGTGAAAGTAGGAGTTATATTGCTCCAATTCTATGAACATATCCAAGCACTCAGGTGTTGCTCTTCGGTTGGCCATCCAGAGTCAATAGCTCTTCTACCAGAGATTGTCTCCAGAAACATAACTCCAAAACTGTACACATGAGACTGTTGTCAGTTTACCCGCCATTGCAGACTCAGAAGCACAGTAACAATAGGTCCCCATTACACTTCTTGATGCATGGTCCTTGTCTTCAGTTGGGCCTAACCTGGCAAGGCCAAAATCAGAGAGTCTGGGATTGAAATCAGCATCTAACAGTATGTTTGATGCTTTGAGATCACGGTAAATCACTGGCGGATCTGCAAATTCGTGTTAGGTATTCTAGGCTTTTGGGGCATTCCTATTTTGACATCGCACCACCAACATGGACCTGTAGGTCCGGTACATATACCATTTTTTTTTTTTTTACATTTGATAATGATAGGCTACATGAGAGAGATGGTCTTTTACTTTTCTCTAAATCCCTTGTCACCTTGGGCACAATGAAGATCATTAGATGAGAAGAAATTGAGATTTTATTTTATAATTTGGTGTAATATGGAATGTAGAAGAGAAAAGTTAAAAAATAAAAAACCCAAAATCCAAACCCAGTAGTCTCTGGGTTCGGCTCGACTTGATCATATCTAAGGCCTCAAGAATAGCCCAGCCTACCATAGTCTCCCCTAACCAAAAACCCTCGCAAAACCCAAAACTAAAATAAGAGTGGTGTTAAGGGATATTCTTTATTTTTTCCATATTTTAAAAAGAAATTTCACTATTTATTAAATAAATAAATATAATTAATATCATAAATTTTATATAAATTAAAGAAAAGAATCATTTTAATTTTAATGGCACGCTAACTTAAAAAAATTAAAAAAAAAAAAAAAAAAAACTTGACAAAAAGTTGTAGAAAAATCATTCCCCACTAAGAAAACACTCGGAAAATTAGGGAGGGGAGGGGAGGGTGGGAGGAAAGCTATGCTTTATTAACGTCAATGGCGATCTCCAGATCCTTGAGAACCTTAATCACCAATAATGCTGCAAAGACCAAGACTTTCCTCACTTGTACAACACCCACCATCACCCTCACCGCCGGCTCTGTAATTCCACCGCTACCCTCTCCTTTCTTCCACAGTCGGTTGTCTTCGTCTCCTTTTCTCACAAAATGGATGGCTCCGTTTCAAGGTCCTCTCTTTCTCTCTTCTCCTCCGTGGAAGCTCTCGCAGTCCGCCACTCCTCTGTGGGGGAATGGGGTCGTCTTCAGGAGGGTCCAGGCTTTGAACCTTGATTTGATTAGGGGACGGACTAGGTTTCCGGTTAAGCTAGAATTTGGGTCGGTGGTTTCGAACCCGGTAGTTTTGGGTGGAGTGCTGCCCAAGGAAGAGGATGTTAGTGCGAGATTGGGTGTTGTGGAGAGCTATGTGAATTTACCGAATTTGATTTCATTCGGTCGATTGGTTTCTGGTCCTTTCCTGGGATGGTAAGTTTTATTCATTTTTTATATCCAAGGGCTTCTTTGTTTGTTACTTTGTTTTTATTTTTCCATATGTAGTTTGTTCTAAGAATTAGTTTGAAATGTTGTTCCTTTAATCCATCAAAGCAACTTGTGTTATTTGATGAATTTCTTCTCAGATTCGATTCCTGACTGTAATCCAAAAAGAAATTTGTTGTACCATACTGTAAACCTTAATTTTTGCCATCAAACCTTCTTTTTGCACTTGATTTTCTCGAAAATGCTATGCAATGAAGATGGAGGTTGATTGTTGGCTTTTATGCAGGATGATCACAAATGGGATGTATTCTTCTGCATTTGTGGGGTTGGCTCTCTCTGGGGCAACTGACTGGGTATGGATGTTATTGTACTTCTCCATGATGAATCAAAAAGTCTGGAATTCAAACAAATTTTTTGGTTTTTGTTTCAATGTCTAGCTGGATGGATATGCAGCAAGGAAGATGAAAATCAATTCCGTGGTGGGTTCCTATCTTGATCCTCTTGCTGACAAGGTAAAGCCATTTATCTGATGCATTCAACCTAAATCCAATAATCACTGCAGACTGGAGAGTTTTGTTTGGTAGTTTATTCTCTTACTTCTTGATACAGGTTCTTATTGGATGTGTTGCTTTGTCAATGGTGCATAATGATCTTTTGCATCGTGAGTAGTCTGGCTTTTTGTAGATTTATGCAACTGGTATATTGATAAGTGAACAGCATTACCCTTACTCTATTCGTTAGCAGGAAATTCCAGTCTTCTCCTATCAATTACTGTTGATAATTATAGCAATTTTTGACGTATCTCCCTCAAGAGTATTATTTTTTGTTATTCTTCCTTTTCTTCTCTAGAGCACTGAATCTCTAGTGCTGTTTGTGGTTTTTAATTTTGCCTTGGGATCCTAAAATTTTCAAATGTTCTGCTTCACCTCTGTTCCTAGAGTTGTGTTCTTGTAGATATATCCTCTATCTGTATTATGTTTGAGAGGTAGACTTAATATGGGCAGTGATGACAGATGGAAGATAGTAAGAAGCTCTGCATATATTGTTGTAGCTAATACTTGCAGTCAGATCTTACAGCTAACTATTTTAGCTATACATGCATGCAAAACTAACCTCATTCAGTTTTCTCTGTTGTAAAGCGGGACTTGTTGGAATCGTTGTGTTACGAGATGCTACCCTTGTTGGGGGTGCAGTATACATGAGAGCCAGTAGCTTGGGTTGGCAGGTGAAGTGGCTTGACTTGAACTTGATTATGGTGTATTTTTGTCCCAGTTGTTTCTTCAGGTTGGCAAGCTTTAGTCAGTGATTTGGCTTATCTAATATTTCATGTTTGTTAAATTTTTTGATTCAGTGGAAAAGCTGGTCTGATTTCTTTAATCTTGATGGAACTCGTCCGCAGAAGGTTGAGCCTCTCTTTATTAGCAAGGTGACATTCTTTCTTCTCCACATGATTATGTTTGCTTTTTTCAGGTTTATTTTTTATATTTGAGGTATGGTTAATACCCTTGGTTTAGGAAGAATGGAATCTAGTAGAGTTAATTTGTATTAGAATTTTTGAAGTTCCTTATAAGGTCAACAAACTTTGTCAGGTTAATACAGTATTCCAGTTGGTTTTAGTCGCCGCAGCTCTCCTTCAACCAGAATTTGGAACACCAGAAACTCAATCATACATCACATACTTGAGGTACTTGGCTATCCTGTGGTGTGATTAAAATTGAACTTTCTTCAAAAATTGTCAACTTGTTTCTGTTCTTGCTGCAGCTGGTTAGTAGCTACAACGACAGTTGCTTCTACAATTGCATATGGAGCACAACACATGGGGAGACTTTCCTCCATCACAAGAAAATCCTAGCTTGAACTTTTGCACACAGTTCTTTTAATCAACTGACTGACCCTGAAGTTCCAGAGTTCCCTTGCATTGAGGAATCTTAGCTTTTGTAGGGGAGAAGAGAATGTAGTTTAGTTAGATGTGCACAAAATGGAAGGTGCATGGACTTTCCCAAGCTCATCTGCACTCATCTGACGGGACTGCAATAGGTTAAGGATCCACAGCCGTTGTAATTTGTATCTGGATTGGGTGTACATATTTACCTGCACCTTTGAAGTAGCAAGGTAAGGAAAATGATCACAATGGAAGGCAAACAATTTTGTAAACGTGCTATCCAAGAGTAGAAATGATACTTTTTAATGTCTTAAATAATAAGCTCTTGATTTAGGTTTCATAAATAATGATCCAAGCATTATCGAGCCTCGTGCGAAAATGCAGGGAATGCATGAAAACGTGATTGGATATGCGAAATACAACATGTATTCCGAGAAGCACATTACTGTTCTGATTACATGGCCTTGGGTTTCTACCATTTAGAGAATGGGTTTCATGTAATTGAAGAACCACCTGACTTGGTCCATGATCATCTTAAAAATGACTTAATAATAATGTCCAGGCCTAGAGTCTATAAATTAGTTCTTTTTTTTTTTTTTAACAATTTACAATTTGGGAAAAAAGGGATTTTCCTAAGGCATTGATAGGGTTTGAAAATCGATCAAATAATCCAAATATTTTAAGGTTTGGGAAAGAATCACTTTACGTCCGAAAGTTTGGTTTAAATTAATCAATGTTTAAGTATTGTTTTATATACAAATAATAATAATAATAATAATAATGAACCAAGCATATGACATTTAATAAAACAAATCATAGAAAATTTCTCATGTTTACACTTGGTTGTCAATTTCATTACATGTAGCTGCTGAGACGTTGGAACTGACTTTTGTACGTACCAGCTGCATGTGTTTCAGCTGTTTGATGAAATGTCTGTGAAAAAAGACAATCACGGCAAAGAGTTCTGTGCAATCTGCCATTGGATTCTGTTACCATTTGAAACACAAAGCAATTATCTTTGATTGGATATTTGTGACTTTTTTTTTTTCAAGTTGTAGGAAGAAACTGATATTTCTTTGTTTGTGCTGGTAGTTTTGGCTCCATCATAGTAAGCGAATTAACTTCAAACATTGTAATCAAAAACTAACAAATACAAGAGAAAGGACTTGGAAATTGGAGATGATCAAATCATATTGAAAAGGGGAAGCTCCCGTTTCCACGGTTTTTGGAGTTGGTCAAAATGGGGTAGGCCATTTTTAAATGTGTTGGGTTGGTGGGCTCATGTTACACTTTTTGTTAGGTCGGCTGAATGAAATGGCTTGGTGGGTTTGGGATGATTTGTGGGACCAGGACTATGAATATTGTTGGGTTTAGCATGAAATTACACCCCAAATCTGCAAATATTTTCCTCTTTTGCACATTTGGTCCCTCCTTTTGTTGAATTGTGCAATTACATCTAACTTTGTTATTTTTCTTCAACATTCCAACCCGAGCTTCCATCCCTTTCACGATCAAGCTCTGAAACATGAAAATAAATCACAGTAAGATAATCTTAAGGTAAATTTTTATTTTTTAATTTATTTATTATAAAAAAATATTTATAAGTCATACCTAAAAAAATTAAGTGAAAAATACACTAAGATTACGTTAATTTAGTTAATTCTTTTAAAAAGTAAAATATCTTAACTTTTAAAATAAAAATGAGACTATTTTAACATTTTTTCATAATGTTTTATTAAAATAGTTTTTATTTTTTTTCTAAATTTAACTAATAAATATTAATCTCTATTAATTAATCTAGACATATATTTACTTATTTTGGTAAAAGTTTGAGTTCTACACAAAGTAGATATAATTAAGAAAAGTTAAAAAAAAAGACGAAAAAAGAAAAGCTTAATAACTTAGGAAAAGAAAATGAATGACACATTTTTTAATTTAATATATTTTTTAATATTTACTTAATTTAATTATTAAAATATAATATAAATATAATTAATTTCATATGTTTTTATATGTTGTATACATGATTATATTTTTTATTTTTTATTTTTTATTATTTTTTAATAAATATGTTATATAAGTTGTTAAGTTGTATCATATATCAATTAGTATCATTTAAAAAAAAAAAAAAGAGGAAAGCTTGATTTCTTCTTCACTCATGCTCCAATAAGGCTTGAAGGGAAGATAAGTGCAGTGCGAAGAGGGGAGAAGAATCCATTTTCCCTTAGGACACGTTTGAATAAAGAAACATAAACAAATGTACTCCAAAAGCAAGTCAACTAAACCTAACAATTTATTAAAAAGCTATGGTTAAGGGGAAAAGCGCTCTAATCGTTAACAAAGCAGGATGATGGATCAAAATAAAGAACAAGCAACATATATAATAAAAAATTGCAGAACAAGAATTAAGAAACCCAACCAATAAGCACTTAGGCGTAATAACTGTAAGTCAACTCGTAAAATACATTTTTTGACTATTGGGTTAAGGGTTGAATCCCTCACCCTCGATTTGTAATTCTGTTAAAAAAACAAAAACATAACAAAGAAAGAAAGAAACCAAACCAATAAAGAAAGAAAGAAATGATTGAACAAAGCCAGGTTGATCGAGGCCAGCTCTAACCTTACAAGTGGAGGAATTAGGGGGAGAAGACGAGTCGCAGAAGGCCGAGGCGGAGCAGAGCTGTGCGCGGAGGAGTATTCGTTTGCTTCAGAGTTTTTGTTTGTGGAGGGAGTTTGTTGAATGGAAGTATGCCTGCACCAAGCTCAATTGCCAAAGTCAGATTCGAGAATGAGCGTAGCCGTTGGATCTTCGATGGACGGTAGTGATTTGCGTAACTGAAAAGACGATGGAAATTGTCGTTTTGAAAGAAAAAGGAAAAGAAAAAGGATCCAAATGAGATCGGGGGAATTGAACCCGACGTGAATCGAACACGCAACCTTCTGATCTGGAGTCAGACGCGCTACCATTGCGCCACGGATCCGAGTTGTTTTAACTCTGGCTTAATTTCTTTTGTATAAAACTGCTTTGGCGAAAATCTTTCATATCCCAAATTGCGATAATCTGCGGGGGAAGGCCCTGAATTATTGGTCTGTCCTCTCTTCAGTGACTGCAAAATTTTTTTTTTTTTTAAAGTTATATAATGTGTACAAAAATGTGTTCTTCAATTAAAAAAAAAAAAAGAAGAAGCATTGTGGACAATATAGGCCGAAAGAACAAAAAAGTGAGGAATACGTATAGGATGTATGTCATTCTCGGTCATTAATGCTTCTCTTTCGAACTTTCTTTACCATGACGGCTAAAATTGAGAAAAGAAAAAAAAAAACCTTTTTTTACCACTACTACTAGTAGAATATTATTTAATGCGTAATTATTTAAATGCTTGAGTTGGTGAGATATTGAGTATTGGAACTAGGGGTGGGTATCGGTTCGGTTCGGTTGGAACTGAATCCAAATTGATGGTTTTAATCGGTTGTTTGTTTTATAAAATAACAAAAAAAAATTGAACCGATTAATATTTTGGTTATTCAATTCGGTTACTAAATTAATCGGTTCGATTAACATCGATTTCGGTTTTAATCGATTTTAACCTTAATCCCTTGGTTTTTTTTTGTCTTTTTGAGATTGAGCCTTACGATTTGTGACTCAACCCAAATATCCAGCATATGCTGTGATTCATTTCTTTTAATTTTATAATTTGAATATTTTAACCAAATATCCATAATAACAAAGTTAATAAACTATTACACTTCATAAGTCAAAAAAATAGATAAAATCATTTGCCATCAAACTGTGTCAAAGACTCAAAGGGATAAGCACACACCCTAGAAACAATGGTGACATCCAAAAGCCTTTTGAATTGTCATTGGCCATTAATTGAGCATTGTATTACATCATTGCCAAGCCTGGTATGTGCATAATCCAAATAATATAGCAACAACAATGTAGTTGCCCTAGCAGCACTCCCTGAAGCCACATTTCCAGCAAATCACTTCACACAACCATTTCTCTTTTGAGTGTCCAAAATAGCTTTAGAAGTAACCTTTAAATGCAAAGTTGAGAGCCTATGAAAATAGAACATCTACTAAGTAAAAAGTATACAATTATATAAAATATAAGATGATATTTTACAATAATCATGCAATAGTGCAAGCAACAAAATGCCAATCATCACAATTCATATTGAAATATCTTCATTTGTAAAAAACCCAAAAATAAAATATCTCTCAATTGTCAACAAGGAAAATAACATCAGAAACTCAACATTTCATAATGATCCAGGAGCCTACAAAAAACCAAGATACTAAACAGAGGTTAATAAGTTATATCTAGGTTGTGACACAATAACCATAGCAAGTTCAAGGTGGCATAACTGAAAAGAACAATATGACAACACCTCAAACTATTCCATCGAATGAACATATTCTTTTTAACACAGCACAAATGAATTGAGCAGGTGCTCATTGACAATTCACACATTAAGTCTAGGTTTATCCATCAAATTAACAATTCATGGGCTTAATTGGGTACTCTCAAGGATTTTTTAATACTTGGCAAGCATTTGCAACTTGACATAAGCAACTCATGGTTTCTGTCAAGTTAATAAAAGTTCTTTAAACTGCATAACATATCAACTACATTAAATAAGTAAAATCAATTGAAAAAAAAAAAAACCAATAACAGAATACTAATTAGAATTAAAATATAATATATTTCATCAAGTACCTATATGGCATCACATTATCACAAGCTATTACTAAAGCTTAGAAAATTACCATTCTTCCTTAACACAAGTTGCATGTTCTGTCCAATTGCCATCTCAAAATACTTCAAAGCTGTCCAAAAGACGTCCAAAAGAAAGTCTTTGTCCAAAAGAAACCTGCTTATAAAAAAAAAAACCTATTTTTCCAAAAAAAAAAAACTTGTCTAGCTAATAGGCCCAATACCATATAACAAAAAAATGCGTTATACACAATGTAGGCCACAACCCACAGCAAATCACCCATAGCATGATTTGCTTTTAAGCTAACAAAAAAAAAACGCGTGTACACTTGTATCTACGACAATTAGCAAAAATAAAAATTAGTTAGTAGAAATTATAAATAAACAAAAGAAATAACTGAAAAAACTTACCTCAACATTAAGTTCGCATTATTTAAAATTATTTAAAAATTTACCTTGTACCTTACCATTTATAAATCCACCATTCATTCAAGAATGGTGGAATCCAAATGAATCTTATCAAACTCTGTACAAACATTAAAAAAAAAA